ATGTGGTGCTGGGGGATTGAACCGCAGTCCCTGTGTTTTGCTAAGCTTGTTCAAAGTAGGTGCTTTAGACCACTGAGCCATCTCCCCAGCCCCTATAGCATTATTTTTAGTGGCTAAGTGTGCTGCTAAAACTAGAATTCCCTTTATGCTGAAGATGTGATCTTGTCGCTGCTAAGGACCTTTGCCGTGCACTACCCCGGCTTCCAAGAATTTGAGCACTACTTTTGCTTCCATTTCTTTTCTTTTTCTTTCTTTCTTTTTTTTTGGTGGAACCGGGGATTGAACTCAGATCCTTGCGTTTGCCAGTCAAGCGCTTATCCTACTGAGCCATCTCCCCGGCCCCTTGCTTCCATTTCTAATACCCTATTTTTGTGAAAGCAGAGTTTTCTGCAATGACAGCAACTGAAATGAGATGATGGAGTATATGGGACATGAGCAACAACTTCGGGTGTCACTGTCTCCTATCAAACCTAGACAGTACCATTCAGTGGAGGAAACAAACTCAGGGCTCCCACCGAGTCTGAACCATGCAGTTATACAACTGTTTCATTGCCTATTACAATAATAATAAAGTGCACAATGGTTATAATGTACTTGAGTCATCCCCAAAACATCCTTTCATATCTGTGGGAAAAATGTCTTCCACAAAACCAGTCCTTAATGCCAACAAAATCGGAGAACACTGCTGTAGAGCAGTGAAGCAGGAAGGTTAGAAAGTGTTTGTTATCAGCATCAGCTAGTCTGCGGGGTCTAACACGACCATCTCTGAAGGTCTCCTTGAGGCTACAATCCGATGTTGCATGCAAGTCAGTGGTCCGCTCTGCAGATGTAGCACTCGCTAATTCCTGGACGCTGTGACAAGGCAGCATAGCGTCATCAGAATCCTGCTTACTGCCTGACCACTCTCTGTGCCTTAGTTTTCTTCATCATACGTGGTGAGGCAATGCCCTCTTCCTCAGGTTATGAGATCTGAAGAGACTGATGTAAATAAAGCCACCACACCAGCACCAAAAAACGCCATCCATGATGTCTTTGCTATTACCAGAAGCAGTAGCTCCCACCATGTGATTCTGCTGTTCCCTCTGCCTTCCCTCACTACTCCTTGTGGAGAACAACTACTTTGCTTTAGCTTTTTCCATCAGAAAATTTGTTTCCATTCCCAGCCAGCCCAGATGGAAGTGACAACTCCCTCCTTGGGTTCCCGCAGGACCACACCCCAGGGTCCGGCGCTGATATGGTGGTAACTGTTGTGCTATAATTCTTTAATAAATGTCTGCCTCCCCCGTCCCTTCCCGGTCTGCACTTACTGAGTGTGCTCATCACACTATAATTTGCACACAATGTAACCGTCCTTTTACGGTGCACCTCGCCCAGGCCATTCCCACGAAGCTAAGGGAGCATCTCGACCAGTCTACTGAGTTATTAGCCACAAACTAAAACAACAGTGTGGCTCGCTGCTACCCAAACAAAAAAGTATCTTTGGGCTAACAGTTGCCCCTTTCCCAGTGGGAC